AGTTTTCGAGTTCGCACAGTACCAAGTTGCAAACTTTGACGTGGTCATGCGCGCTGCCCAAGCGTGTGCGACAGCTAAATTTGAAATCTTTAGCCTACTCATGCACAGAGAATATCCCTGTAAATTTTCAGTTTCGTACGTTGCCTGGTTCACAAAATCGTTTTCCGCCAAAGAAATTTTCACATTTTTTTTTGGAATCCATACGCAAGTTCTAGGTGCGCATGAGCAAAAATTTTCAAATGGGAGAATGACACACGGGGTGGGAATATGTTCCCAAAACTTTAGCCTCCCAGCTTTCCTGACTGCTGAGTCGAAAGTGGATGACAAAGTCCATTCACTTTCAAACACACACAAACCCACCGACCCACACTCGCCCACCACACACACATACACAGACAACCTCTCGACAATATGCGTTTTTGCTCGCTATAGCGGTGCAACAGCCTGGCACAGGAAAAACGCATAAAAATTCAAATAAGAACAAAAGGATGATAAAGCTATGGGAATTATAATTAGCTGTTTGCTAGAAGGAAACAAGTTCACTATCTGATGTTTTTTACTAAGCAAAATCGTGGAGTTTTTGCAGGGGAATAAACTATATTCTCATGGCAATTATATACGAAATTTAAACGAAACTGAAATCAACGAGGCTCAGGAATACAAAAAGCAGATGGCAGAGTTTCGTAAAGTAAGCTATTTTTCAGAGTGTAAGAGGACAAGTATTTTTTTGAGACACTAATTTTGGACCAGTAGACTAGATATGCCTTCCAATGGATAATCATTTCTCAGTTATTAAGTCTGAAGAGTCTAATAAATGTCATTTTTTAAATTTCTTTTTGTAGAAACTCGATGAGCGTATGAATGACGCGTTGCGAACATCACAGAATGGAACACTGCCGCCGTTTCCATCCCGACCGATGATGCCGAAATTTTGCTTTGGCAAAGATGCAGTGCTGTATGTATTCGCTGGATGCACTGTACAGGTGATTTAGTTCTTTGTTAAATTATATATTGAAGTTTGTAAATCTGACGGCTGCAGTGCCCAGGAACTCAAAAGCCTTCAAGCTTCAAGCTGTTCCTGGTCTTGATTTGTAAAAATTGATTTGAATTTTGGCCAATTCGAAAGCGACTAATTTTGGGTGAATTTTGTGCGTGTAGACTTTTTCATTTTCAGTTACAATACGAGTTTCTAACTGAATCTAAATTCTTGAAATTCCAGCTTCCTAATTTGTAATTTTCACCATCTGAACTGGCAGTCACCTGCAGCCAAATCCATACTCATCACAACAACTCACCATATTTTTTGTTCATACGAGAACCTCTAAGAAGCTCTTAAGGATTATAATTGCCCCTGTCGGAACCAAACTCTTCACATTTCAGAATTACAAATTATACATCGGACAGAAGTTTGCTCGTGAACTAAACCCGGAAGAGCGAGATGAGCTTGATATTTTTGCTAAACAAATGGCAAGCGCTATGCCGGCACCCAATCCGTTGGTAAAAATCATTTTATTCAACAATTTTTTTTCAGTGACTGAATATAATTAGGTCAGTGAGTGTAGCAGACTGTCGTGAACGCTTCATGCACTAGGCGTACATTTTATACACTGAACATATCAACAACGTGGTTAGTACAAATAATATCTGCGAATAATGTGCGCCAGAATCCGAGTGAAAATTTGAAATATTACAGAATTTTGCAATGACGACAATCTTACGTGCTGGGTAAAATGATTAACTTAAAATGAAATAGAAGCATTCTGAATAAATTCTTGCTTCTCTTTTATACTCTAAGAGATAAAACAGAGTATAAAATGAAACAAAGGTTGGAACGCACCAGGCGAGCCGGTGCGATCATGCGTTTTTGCATCAAAACTAAAGTAAAAACGTTCGTTTCCAAAAAAACTGCGTTCATTTACATATACGATTGCGGTTAAGGTCCGGGCTGAGAACGGATTTTTGAAAATATGCAAATCTCTAGTTCATTGAAAAATTGAAAGTATTGCCCGAACGGTCGTTTTTCGAAAAATGCACGTTCATTTGC